GGCTGCAGTGGCCGGGAGCGGCCACTGCACTCAGTCTGGGCGACAGAGTGAAACTCCAACTAAAAAAAAAAAGAAATATGTTTGTCTCTCATCTACTAGATTTTAAACTCTCTGATGACAGACTCCGTGTCCAATTCATCTTAAACAATAAACCTAAATGAAATAGTCTTGAAACTTAGATATACTACATATATTCTCCTTTTCTATCTCTAAGATCTATTGTACCAGAGAAGAAAAATAATTAATCTCTATAAATTTAATTTTTGCAACAGTAACTTATTCTGGTTCTAGATATGTGCAAACTCATGAATCTGACATACTCTAGTTATATTAACTTGGTTACTTTATTTTAACTTTATGTTTAAAATTGTCAGATTCTCTCTTTCAACAGTTATTTACGACAGTGATTTTCTAGTTTTATTGGGCAGAATTAGCCAGAAAGCTTATTAAAATGCAGATTCCTGGGACCAAACACCAAAGATACAAATCTGATAAACCTGGGATGTACTTTAGATGCCAACACTAAGAATTCGCGCTATAGGAAAATTTTTTGAAAATTTCTGGAAGAAGTTGAGTCACCTCTGTTATACATCTGAAATCTTTACATATCAGTTTGTTTCATTACAAAGCCCTTAACTGACAGCACCGCTACATGCAATTGTTCTATAAAAGCCAAATGTCAAGCCTCATATAGTTAAAAGATTCAAACTTGTAAGTGAATCCTGCCTGAGAGATGACAGTAGCCCACAGAATACACAGGCCATAAATCTGTTCAATACAGAAGGCAGCATTTTTGAGGTAATAAAAGGCTCTTTAAATTGAAATCTGCCATACAATATAGAAATGAGCTTCTATCTTCCTATGTACTAATCACAGTTGAAGCAGTGACCAAAATAAAGGGCATAAGCATGCATGAAAGGTCTTTTTCAGATACTCAGATATAATGTGGGAAAAAAAACTTAAGTGATTGTTTATTCTCAAGATATTTTAATCCTATGAACCCTTTGATAAATTAAAATCCCCTAGCCCTTTCAAGACATTAATTTGTCCTCAGTGAGAGTATTACCCAGAAAGCTTATTAAAATGCAGATTCCTGGAACCAAATTCCAAAGAATCACTTCATGTAGGAAACTTACCTCCTTACCCCATCCAAAATGTATCTAGTTTCAGTAGTATATATGTAAAAAACAAATCTTATTTACATGTTTTTATTTATCAAAAGCAATCTATGTTCTTTGTCTTCACTTAATTGTCTAAATGTTCTTGGGCAGCTGTAATTGTGTAATCTCATTATAGGATTCCAAGATCTCTTTTCCTTATTGCAGACTAATTTTAAAAGCTCACTGAACAAGGTTTTATTATCTATAATTTACACTGTCTCTCCAGCCTCAATGAGGAAGGAGGAAAATAATTGGCATTACCCCTGCCGTACTTTCTTAAACGCTGATGAGTTCTTTTTTTTTTTTTTTCCTTTTCTTTTCTCTTGAGTCAGAGTCTCACTCTATCACCCTGGCTGGAAAGCAGTGGCATGATCAGGGCTACTAGATCCTTGAAATGTGGGGTTTAGGTGATTCTTCTGCTTTAGCCTTTGAAGTAGCTGGAACTACAGGTGTGTACCACTACACCTGGCTAATTTTATTTATTATACAGACACAGTCTCACCATGTTGCCCAGACTGGTGTCAAACTCCTGGACTCAGGCAATCCTCTCACTTTGTCCTTCCAAAGTGCTGGGAAAACTGCACCCGGCCTTAGTTTCTTTTTAAACACTTTCTTATGTTTGCAGTTTACATTTTTCTAATTTATTTCCTCAAGATTCTTAGTTTATTCTAAGAATTTCAGCTACTCTGGAGGTCTTAAGGATTTGCTCTTTATTTTTTTCTTTTTTCAGGAGTCTCATTCTGTCACTCAGGCTGGAGTGCAGTGGCACAGTCATGGCTCACCACAACCTTAATGTCTTCGGCTCAGGTGATCCTTGTACCTCAGCCTCCCAAGAAGTTGGGACTACAGGAATGTGTCACCATGCCTGGCTAATGTTTTGCAGAGGTGAAATCTCTGCCCAGGCTAGTCTTGAACTCCTGGGCTCAAGCAATCCTCCTGCCTCAGCCTCCCAAAGTTCTATGATTACAGGCATGAGCCAACATGACCAGCCTACAATTCTTTATTTTTAAAACAAACTTGCCCATATTAATCTAACGGATTTTTAAAAAGTAATCTTCAATGCAAGTATAATTTTTTCATCAGACTATCTCCTGGTATCATAAATATAACTCAAAGGCCAGGCACAGCAGCTCAAGCCTATAATCCCTGTACTTCGGGAGGCCGAGGCAGGAGGACTGCTTGAGCCCAGGAGTTCAAAACCAGCCTGGGCAACACAGCGAGGCCTCATCTCTACAAAAAAAAAATCAAAAAATTAGCCAGGTGTGGTGGTGCACATCTGTAGTCCCAGCTACTTGGGAGGCTAAGTTGAAAGAATCACCTGAGCCCAGGAGGTTGAGGTTGCGGAGAGCCGTGATAGTGATACTGCACTCCAGCCTAGGTGACAGAGTAAGAGCTCAACTCAAAACAAACATATAAATAAATACAACTTGAGTACATTTATTGTTAGTAATTTTTAGCTTCAAATCCTTTGTCAAATAATCATTTCTCCAAATGAATAAATAAGGCAAAGAAAAGGGGGGAGAACAATGTGAAAACATTTTGGCAGAAATAGGTATTATATTTATGAAATGAATATAAATGGTAAGTTATAACTATTATAAGCAAAGAAGTGAAAGAAATAATTATAGGCAAGCAAAAGAAGTGATAAAAGTCCAATTTCTAAAAACTTGTTTATTAAAATATAAAGACAACCTTAAATATACTCAATCTTCTTGATAGTTTATAATTATCTAGAATAAAAATTCATGGCATTTAAATTTTCTCAAGATTTTTCCTTAGACAAGTAAATTTCCTCCCATTTGCAACTTTTCTATTTATTGGTTTAAGAATTAGCTTTCTTAAAGGCCTTCTACTGCTAGATGAAGTAGTACCTTTCTTTGCTGGTGGTTCATCTTGTTGAAGTTCATCTTCATTTAATCTTTTCCTTTCTGAACAGGTCTGAGTTTTGCTGCCCTTAGGCACTTCAACTGTTTCATTATAAGTCAATTTATTGTCTATTATTAAAGGAGATGTACCAGCCTTGTCCTAAAGCAAAATAGATTAAAATTAATTCATATATCAAAAGCAACACTAAACATACAAATTACATCAATTATTTTTCAATAGTGTATCATAAAAATTTTACTTCAAAAGTGTTACAACATTTCCTAAGTTATTTCTTAAGTTTCGCCCTAAGTAATAACTGATGGCTATGGCAAATGAGTAAGATTTAGGGACTGCTGGAGAATCCTAAAAACACTCACCCCTAAAGTCACATTCAAAATGTACTTTAAGAAAAAAAGTGAAACTCAATAATTGTTTTGTTGCATAACGAAAGCCTCTTAAAGATATGTAGTATTGTCTTTTTTTTTTTTTAACTACTACCAGAAAAAGTTAGCTTTCAGTCTACATAAATTCAAAGATATACAGTCTACATACAGCTTTAAAACTGAGATTGTAGACCAGTCATTTAAACTTTTATTTTTTCAGGCAGTGACTTGCCTCCCTTAAACTGGTTAACAAGGGCACAATACGGACATGAAACGACATGAAACGAGAAACAACAAGGGTAAAACTCAGCAATTTAGTGCAAGTCTATAAAAGGTAATCAAGCTGGGCTCGGTGGCTCAGCCTGTAATCCCGCGCCTTTGGGAGGCTGAGGTGAGTGGATTGCCTGAGCCTGCGGGTTCGAGACCGGCCTGGGCAGCGAGACCTCATCTCTACAATAAATCAAAAAATCAGCCAGGCGTGGTAACACATGCCTGTAATTCCGGCTACTCGGAAGGCTGAGGCGGAAGGATTGCCGGAGCCCAGCAGGTCGAGGCTGCAGTGGCCAGTAGCGGCCACTGTACTCCAGTCTGGGCAACGGAGTGAGACTCCAACTCAAAAATAAATAAATAAATAAATAAATTTTAAAAATGTTTATAAAGCCAGGCGCGGTGGCGCAAACCTATAATTCCAGCACTTTGGGAGGCTGAGGCAAGAGGATTGCCTGAGCTCAGGGTTTCGAGAGCAGCCTGGGCAACTTGGTGAGACCTCATTTCTATAATAAATCAAAAAACAATCTGGGCGTAATAGTGCACACCTGTAGTTCCAGGTGCTTGGAAGGCTGAGGCGGAAGAATCGCATGAGGCCATCAGGTCAAGACTGCAGTGGCCGTGAGTGTGTCACTGCCCTCCAGCCTGGGCGACGGAGTGACACTCCAACTCAAGAAAAAAAGCAAACAACCGAAAATGTTTACAAATTTATTGCCATGTCTGCAATTGTACTAACAACTTTAAATGACTAGGGAGACAGTTATCCAGTAGGAAAGGCAGACAACTCATTTAATCTTTTTTTTTTTTTTTGAGTTGGAGTCTCACTCTGTCGCCCAGACTGGAGTGCGGTGGCTGCTTCCGGCCACCGCAGCCCCGACCTGCTGGGCTCCGGTGATTCTTCCACCTCAGCCTTCCAAGTAGCCGGAATTAAAGGCATGCGCTACCATGCCCGACTGGTTTTTTTTTTATTTATTGTAGAGATGAGGTCTCACCGCCCAGGCGGGTCTCGAACCCGTGGGCTCAGGCAATCCACTCACCTCAGCCTCCCAAGGCGGGGGATTACAGGCTGAGTCACCGAGCCCAGCTGTACAAATCTTTTATCAGACAAAAAAATGCCATTCATTGTTTTAAGTTCAGTTATTGTATTTTTAACTTCTAAAAGTTCTATTTGGTTATTTTCGGATCTAATAGGGCATTTGTTGTTTCCCACTCCTTGCAAGTATTTTTCAAAACTATGGTTTTTTAAACATATAATCAAGCTGGGCTCGGTGGCTCAGCCTGTAATCCCGCGCCTTTGGGAGGCTGAGGTGAGTGGATTGCCTGAGCCTGCGGGTTCGAGACCGGCCTGGGCAGCGAGACCTCATCTCTACAATAAATCAAAAAATCAGCCAGGCGTGGTAACACATGCCTGTAATTCCGGCTACTCGGAAGGCTGAGGCGGAAGGATTGCCGGAGCCCAGCAGGTCGAGGCTGCGGTGGCCAGGAGCGGCCACTGCACTCCAGTCTGGGCAACAGAGTGAGACTTCAACTCAAAAAAAAAAAAAAAAAAAAGTAATAAAGGTATAGTAAAGGTAGGGACTTGGAGTGACCCATTTTGAAAAAAATAAAGTGTATGATAAAAAATGCCATTCTTACATCAGAATGACCTGGTCATTTCCCCCCCATTCAAAATATACAATGCTCACCCAAAATCTAACCTCCAAAAGTCACTATTATTGAAAGGAGAATTTTCTGCTCCCAGGGTAGGCTTGGGGAGTTTCAAAAAAAACAAAAACATCACTCAAACTAAACTTTTTCATCATTAGAAAGAGTTAGCTTTCAAGACAAGATTTAGAACAGTGATCCCAGATCAACAGCTAGTTAGCAGTCAGGCAAATTCCAAATTACTTTTTGTTTCTTTCTGTATTAAAGTGTACAATTTAAATTTAGTACACTGTTTAAAGTTGGTTGATAAAACAAGGTCCAGAGTCTATCTACACATTTTAAGTTAGTTGATAAACTAGTTCTAGGACCTATCTATAAAGTATATTTATAGCAGGAACTAACTAAATTAAAAATACTGCTTTCTCTGTATTAGTCTTTTACTATTACTTAAACATTACTAACACACTGTAGTATGCAAACATACTACAGAAATAAATATATAATCCCACATGAAACTTCCAATTATTTTCTTTGATACTGTAATCACCGGAAGTGATCTGTCTCTGGCTTTCCTTTCTTTGTTTTTATTTTCCTTTACCAAACCAAAGGTCATACTTAAAATCTAGATCAAGAGTTAAGAGCAAAAATATGCGGTAAATAACCAAATAAAAGTTTTAGGCTAGGCGCAGTGGCTCACACCTGTAATCCCAGCACTTTGGGCCCAGGCACTCAAGACCAGCCTGGACAACATAGGGAAACCTTGTCTCTTCAAAAAATAAAAATAAAAAAGCAAAAAACTAGCCAGGCATGGTGGTGCATGCCTGTAATCCTAGCTACTCAGGAGGCTGAGGCAGAAGGATTGCCCGAGCCTAGGAGGTCGAGGCTGCAATGAGCCATGATCATTTCACTACACTCCAGACTGGGCAACAGAGTGAGACTCTGACTCAAAAAAACAAACAAACAAACAAACACACAAAACCCTAAATACATAAGAAAGGCTAAAAACTCAAAGACTTTACATGTCACAGCACATAATGCAATTTTTTGGAGAAAAAATTGCTAGTACACATATAAACAATAGCATCAAAATGCCTATAACAAAAACAAAATTCCAAAGAAAAATATCTAATTCTACTAAATTTCATGTTATAGTTCCCTGGATCATTATAATCTGGTAATCTAAACACATCTAAGTTCTTTTCTTATCAGAGCTCCCCTTCCAACTAGTTGAGGTTTAAACTTCCAGGGGTTACATATTCTACCTATTACGTGCAAAGAAAAGCCAGCATAATTTGTGAAAAATGGTGTTCAGAAAAGTCATAAGCTCTCTTCGAAGTTCTCAAAAATTCAAATCTATACAATAATAAACTGAATTCAATGTCAGGATAGGCAATTCTACAACCTTAGCAAATTATTCTTAGTTGTATAAGCTATTTTAAATTATTTACTTTGAACCAAAACACAGGCTTTTTCATCTACTTTATAATGCAAACAAAGTTAAATTCTTACATTGCCTTCAAATGTGTTTTCTGTATGCGGCTCTAGGTTCTGAAATTTGTTGATGATACCCTCTTTTTGATCAATTATATCCATCAATTCTTGAATTCTTTGATTCTGCATAATTATTTTCTTTGGAAAGAAGAAAAACAGCGAAGTTTAGTGAATATATTTTGGGATAACTAGAATGCAAACATGATACAGTTTTAAAAATCTTTCAAATTTTAAGATTAAATAAAAATAATCAATGGCAACATACTATGTATAGCATGCATGATCTCAGTTTTGTTTTAAAAACCAACATGAGGCCAGGCGTGGTGGCTCACACCTGTAATCCCAGCACTCTTGGAGGCTGAGATAAGAGGATTGCTTGAGCCCAGAGTTCAAGAGTAGCCTGGGTAACGTAACAAAACCTCGTCTCTACAAAAAAATCAAAAACTTAGCCAGGCATAGTGGTGCACACATGTTGTCCCAGCTATTGGGAAGGCAGAGGTGGAAGGATTGCCTAAGCCCAAGAAGTCAAAGCTGCAGTGAGCTGGCAGTGTGCCACTGCACTCCAGCCTGGGTGACAGAATGAGACTCTATGACTCCAAACAAAAAACAAAACAAACAAAAAAACTATGTTCATATATATACAAAAAGAAAACAAAGAAAAGAAAAGAAACATAAAACACAAGGTAAGAAGAATTTGGAAGCCAGACAAGATGGCTCACGCTTGTAATCCCAGCACTCTGGGATGCAAAGGCAAGAGGATTGATTGAGCCCAGGTGTTCAAGACCAGCCTGGGCAACTTGGTGAGACGTCATCTCTACAATAAATAAACAAAATTAGCTGGGCATGGTGGCATGTGCCTGTAGTTCCAGCTACTTGGAACTACAGGCACATGCAGAAGAATTACCTAAGCCCAGCAGGTCAAGGCTGCAGCAGCTTGAGAGTGCTTGCTACTGCACTCCTGCCTGGGGGCAAGAGTGAAACTCCAAATCAAAAAAGAAAGAAAGAATTTGGAGTCAGACTGCCTGGGTTTGATTTCCAGTTTCTCCACATTCTAGCTACGGCACTCTGAGCATGTTATTTAATGTCTCTGCAAACATAAAAAAATAATAATATCATCTACATCATAAAATTGTTATGAAATTTAAATGAGTTAATTATTAGCAGTATAGGAGTACCTGGTAAACAGTAAGTGGTCTATCAATATAAATACATATAAAGTAAAAGTCTAAAGAACTTCCAAGTAACTTGTTAGTTTTGATTTCTTTTTTTTAATTTAGAAGGAAGATTATGGAAACACTTTATTTTCTATTTAACATAGTTTTATATAACCGAAATTGTATAACTAATGTCTACTATCTTCATAAGTAGAAAAAAATAAAGGAAAAGATAGAAATGGTCTAAAACAGTAGCTGTAGCTGGGCATGGTGGCTCAGGCCTGTAATCCCAGCACTTTGGGAGGCAGAGACAGAGAACTGCCTGAGCCCAGGAGTTCAAGACCAGTCTGGGCAACTTGGCGAGACCTTGTCTCTGCAGCAAAAAAATTAGCCAGGCTTGGTGGTGTGCGCCTATAGTTCCAGCTACTTGGAAGACTGAGATGGAGGGATCGCCTGAGTCCAGGAGGTCAAGGATATGGTGGCTGTGAGCATGCCACTGCACTCCAGCCTGGGAGGTAGAGTGAGACTCTAAATCAAAAAAATAAATAAATACGTAAAACAGTAGTTGCAATGTTTTCAAAGTACAGTATTTTACTTTAAGTTAAACATTAACTTTATTTCTTTAAATACTGGATATCAGATACTAAGACCTTGAATTATTTACATCTGACATCTTAAAATACTCAACTGTTTAAAAGGATAAATGTAGGCCAGTGGTTCACACCTATAATCCAGTACTTTGGGAGGGCGAGGTTTATTTATCTCTACAACCAATTTAAAAATTAGCTGGGCATGGTGGTGTGTGCCTGTGGTTCCAACTACTTGGAAGGTCAAGGCGGAAGGATCACCTGAGCCCAGCAGGACAAGGTTACAGTGGCCGTGAGTGTGCCACTGCTCTACAGTCTGGGCAAAAGGGTGAGACTCCAACTCAAAAAAATAAAAAAAAATAAAGTAAAACAAAAGGATAAATGTAAGCTAAAATGAGAAGTCACAATCCCCCATGCATACCAAGTGACAACTGTATTACTGTTTAATTATTTTTTTTAAATAAACATACCTAATCAAAATTCATGCCCCTTCATTTACTTAATTATTAAGTTTCCTATCAAGACAAAATAAAGCTTAAAGTCATTACCTTATTAGATGTCTGGCGTTCTTGAACCAATGAATCTGATTCTGAAAAAGTAAGAGTTATTGAAAATAAATATCTAAGCATCTAAAAATCGTATCACTGAATGACAATGAAATATAAGCTGCTATAGTAGATACTTTTACTACTGTTACATTCAAGAAAAACAATTTTGACAATTCTAGAAGCATACAGCATTCATCTGCTAATTCAAGAGGGTCATGTTTCAGAAAAAGCCACTTTCAAAAATCAAGCTAAAAATGAGTAACAAATGCTAAATGATAAAAAAAACTTCTGGCATCACATTGGAGAAGAACAGAAGCCTTTCTGGTTCATTTCATAATGCAGAGACACCACATACCTATTATCTTCTACTCATCTTATTTCACATAAAAAATGGTAGAGTATTTCAACTAATACTTAAAAATCAGGTATCAGTCTGGTGCAGTGGTTCACTCCTATAATCTCAGCACTCTGGGAGACTGAGGAGAGAGGATAGTCTGAGCCCATGGGTTCGAGACCAGCCTGGGCAACTTGGCGAGACTTCATCTCTACAACAAATAAAACAATTAGCCAGGCGTGGTAGTGTGTGTCTGCAGTTTCAGCTACTTGGAAGGCTGAGGCAGAAGGATCGCCTGAGCCCAGCAGGGAGCATACCACTGTACTCTAGGCTGGGCGACAGAGTGAGATTCCAACTCAAATATAAAAATAAAACCAGATTATCATAAACAATCATACATACACATATATGTATAGGATATAGGTTTGTGACATATACACACACACATATATATATTGCCTTAAGATTCAAGATTCAATTTAACAAACTACTTTAAACCACTCCAAAGTAGTCACTCTACACAAACTTGCAAGCCAAGAGGAGAATCTCCTACACTATGAGTTCATAAAGAATATAAAACAAACGTTATAGCATCACAATTTCCTATGAGATTTCTTAATTTACTTATAAAGCTAATACTTGGTTTGTTTTGAGAAGACCATTTTCTAATAATATTGTTCTAAAAGTAAATGAAGGTGAAGGCTAAGAAATATTTTTAGTAGTAAGTTAAAGTTATACAAATGATAAAATATTTTAAAATTTTACCTAGATCAGAGAATTTTCAAGTCGCTATGGGTAAATAAAATACGTAAACCTTTTATACTTACCAACTGTACCTTTTATGTGTTAATAATATCTAAATAGGGATAAAATACATCCACTTACCATTTTCTTTCTTTTTTAACTCTTCTTTGGTTTTGATTAATTCTTCTTTGGTTTTAGCTAACTCAGCTTTAACTTGATTAAACTTTAGTTCTAAACAAGCAATAGCTTCCTGGGGGTCAGCAAGAGATGCAATATATAAGTGAGCAATTTCAGCCTGTTTCTTAATATCAGCGACATTATCTTGAAGAGAATCAATAATATCTTCAAATTCTACATAATTATGTGCTTCCTAAAAATAGCAAAAACCACATGCCTAATGTTAACAGTGGGTTTCACCCTTACATGTGGTACCATCTAATATACACAGTTTTTAAAATAGCAAAAAAACACTACTTGAAATCTTTAAGATAAATTATATAGATGTACCTCTAATTATGAAAAAATTATGTTCTTTTTTTGTTGTATGGACAATGAGGCATACTTCCTCATTATATAATGTCATAAACTCTAAGTCATTATAGGACAATTATGATTACCTTTAAAAGTTTTCTTAAGATAGCCCAGAAAACTAATCTCCTGTCTAACAACTCAGATCAAGTCCCAAACCATGTTCAGGATATATAATGATGGCTTGAAAGCAAAAGTCTGAACATCACTGTCACAGGTCACTTAACTGAATCATTAAAAAACAAAATAAAAACAAATAACAACTCCAAGAAAACGTGACAATTTTGGCTTCAGTGGAAACAGCAGAAAAAAATAATTTTTCCTAAAAGTTGGGAATAATAGTTGCCCAAAAAGGGCAACATGTTTTATATAAAAACATTTTTGTTTTGACCAGAACAGTAAGTAAATGACTTCTTAAGCCTTTAATTTTGTTTTGTTTTATTTTATTCATTTAAAAATTTTGGGCCAGGCACGGTGGCTCATGTCTGTAATCACAACACTTTAGAAGGAGGCAGCAAGAAGATCGCCTTAGCTTGGCAAGACTTTATCTCCACAAATAAAATTAACCAGGCAAGGTGGTATGTGCCTGATTTCAGCTACTTGGAAGGCTAAAGCAGAAGGATTACCTGAGCCTAGCAACTCGAGGCTGTAGTGGCTGCCTCAAAAAACTCCAACTCAAAAAAAAAAAAAAAAAAACTGGTCAGGCATGGTGGCTCACACCTGTAATCCCAATACATTGGGAGGCCAAGACAGGAAGATCACTTGAGTCCAGGAGTTCGAGACCAGCCTGGACAACAGGGTAACATAGCAAAACCTCATCTCTATTAAAAAAAAATAAAAAAGAAAGACAAATCTGAGGAATATCCCACAATCAGACAAAAAAGAATCTATCTGCCTATAATAAAAAATGACTAAAGCAATACAAAAATGAGATAAACATGTAAGAGAAAAATAATTTTTCAAAGACTAGTAGTCGTATCTAAACTACTTCTGCATACATTCCTAATAAAACATGACTAATTATAACAAAGTTACACAGTAAACACTGTTTTAATTCTAAACTATGTTGATGTCCCTCATCATTAATGAGCTATGCTAAATCTTGGTACTAAAACCTCACTGGATTTTTAAATATTTCAGTTAACATACTTTAGTTCCAACTTTCATAGCACAAACTTCATTTGTTGGTTCTTCTCGAGTGTCAGATTTACCAATCAAATCCTTGAAGATAGCCAAACGACATTCAGCATTTTCTTCTAATATCTCTCGTTCCTGAAGCAGAGTTTCCCTTCATAATACAAATTAATCCCATTAAGAAACAGAAAAGTTGCTACTTTTTGTTTCTGTTTTAAACATCTAAGGCTAAGTACACTGTAGAAAAAGCTTTTTATTTATTTATTTATTTATTTATTTGAGTCAAGGTCTCACCAATTTGCCCAGGCTGGTCTCAAATTCCTGGGATCAGCCAGTCGCAGTAGCTCACACCTGTAATCCTAGCACTTTGGGAAGTAGAAGGGAGAGGATTCCTTGAGTCCAGGGTTTCGAAACCAGGGTAATTCCTCTCTATAATAAATTTAAAAATTAGCCGGGCGTGATGGCATGCGCCTGTGGTTCCAGCTGCTTGGAAGGTTGAGGTGGAAGAATCACCTGAGCCCAGCAGGTCATGGCTGTAGTGGCCATGAGTGTGTCACTGCACTCCAGCCTGGGTGACAGTGAGACTCCAACTAAAAAAAAAACTTCCTGGACTCAGGCAATCCTCTCGCCTCCATCTCCCAAAATGGTGGAACAACAGGCATGAGTCACTGTGTCCGGCCCATTAAAAGTAAATTTAAATAATCCTGCATGGGGATAAGTAACAGCTATTTTCAATCTTGCTTAAAAAATTAGAAACCAGAGGCCATCCAATATAAAACAAGTTAATAAGTTGTTTTGGTTTTTGAGTCAGAGTCTCACTCTGTTGCCCAGGCTGGAGTGCAGTGGCATGCTCACGGCCACCGCAGCCTTGATCTGCTGGACTCAGGCGATCCTTCCACCTCAGAACTCCAAGTAGCTTGAACTATAGGTATGCGCCACCACCTCCGACTAATTTTTTGATTTATTTTAGAGATGAGGTCTCACTAAGTTGTCCAGGCTAGTCTCGAACCCGTGGGCTCAGGCAATCCTCTCATCTCAACCTCCCAGAGTGTTGGTATTATAGGCGTGAGCCACTGTGCCCTGCCTCAAGTAAATAAGTCTTAAAAAATTAAATAAGTAAATACAATTCTCAATTCTTAACAGGACATAAAAGAAATAACTTACTTAAAGTCAGCTTCTCGTTGAGTCCAATACTGAGTGAACTCCCGTGTAACTTCGTCTCGAATTTTAAATTCCAGTGTTAACTTGTCTTTTTTTTCATTTATTAGTTTTTTCTTCAAGTCTTCTATTAAATCCAATAGCTTCTATAACATTTAAAAGTAAAATTCTTTAAAGAACAAACATATCTCAAAGAAATACTATCCAAATGTCCAAACACAAAATTATTTTCATTTAGTCAATACAGTTATGCATCCTTTTTAATAGTGATAATATTCTCACTGAATATTATGCATTTGCAGAGATTCATTAATCTGAAAAAGGAGGTGAACCTCTTCATATTTTAGAAATAGACTTATGGTAACCCAAATGACTACTGCTAGTTGTACTAAGAAAAAAAAGTAAGGCAAAATTTGAGCATGTATGATCCACCAGAAACTACTCTACGGCTCAGCATAGCCTTGAACTCCTGGGTTTGAGCGAAACTCCCACCTCAGCCTCCCTAGTAGATGTGACTATAGGTGCACACCAGCAAATACAGATAATTTTAAAAAATTTTTTGTATAGACACGGTCTTGCTATGTTGACTAGGCTGGTCTTGAATTCCTGGGCTCAAGCATTCCTTCTGCCTTGGCCTCCCAAAATGATGAAATTACAGGCGTGAGCCACTGTACTGGCCTCACAATTTATTTTTAAATAAGGAATATCAGGTTACGAAACAGTAATGTATAGTAAAAAATCCATTAACATGGGTGGTAAGTCGGAGAAATCTTTAAATTTTTTCATTCTACCATGAATATATAATACTACTTTAATAATTTCTAAGAACACAATTTCTAACTGTTAAAAATAATAAATAGTAATAACGACTGAAGGAAAAATGTGGGCGACAGAGAAATCTGCATAAATGTGGGAATACCTTGGCATATTGGTTTATTGGTTTATTGTAATAGATTTCAATAATTAGTTTGTATCTTTGCTAGCATCTAATAAAGTTTTAACTCAAACAATTCTGATTGGCTACCGCTAATTGAAGTATAAATACCGGGGTGCCAAAAAATGTATACATATTTTAAGCTATGTTATCTATGTATTACTTTTAGTTCGTCATAATCAGAAGTGTCTGGATGCTGCTGGTAACCACTTTGAACACCTCTTGTAATTGCAAAAGTCAAATATGACTTGTATTTATCATTTGTTATTGGTATATATTAGTACTACAAAGTTAACATTTTTTTCCTTTCTTAAAATGTATATACATTTTTTGGCACCCTCTGTATAATATTAAATATTTTATAACGATTTCTAATAGTCTCAATCCTCTAATTAAAATGCAAATAAAAGCCAAGCACGTTAATTCATGCCTGTAATCCCAGCATTTGGGGAGGCAGAGGCAAGAGGATTGCCTGAGCCCAGGGTTTGAGACTAGCTTAGGCAAGTTGGTGAGATCTTGTCTTTACAATAAATCAAAAAATTATCTAGATGTGGTGGCACACAGCTGTAGTTCCAGCTACTTGGAAGGCTGAGGAGAAAAGATTGCCTGAAGATCGAGGCTGTGGTGGCCATGAGAGTGTCACCGCACTTCAGCCTGGGCAACAGAGTGACACTCCAACTCAAAACAATGTATGAATACTTAATACTTACTCTGTTCTCCTTATGGCCAATGAAAGCCTTATCTTCCTCTAGCGTTTTCTCTAGATCTTCATCAATAAGTTCATTTTCTACATTTTGGTTTTTGTCAGCGTTTTCTAGCTCCTCAACCAAATCCTCATCTTCCTTCAAATCTTCTAGACTATTCTCCCATGAAATGGTGGCTCTTTTTACATTTAATGTTTTATTGCCTGAATTACTGTCTAGTGATACATCCTGAGAAGACTTGACAGATCCAAATGACTTCTCTTGAGAGGAATTTAAAGTATCTGGGAGATAAACCTGTTAAAATATCCAATGTGACTATTAAAACAGAAAAGGCATGAACTATCCACAAAAAAATAATTTTATAAATTTAAAGGAAAAAACCATGCAAACAAACGTACAAAAAGGGATTAGCATCTTTAAATGAACGTTCTGATTTTTTAAAAATTCTACTTACACAAGTACACTACAGGTAAATCTACCTTCCTGGGTGAAGTACTCAGTATTATTCACAGCAAGGGGTTTTCCAATGACTCAAAAACCTTAAATCAACCAGATGAATGGCAGAACAGACAATTCACTCCAAGAATATGCGTTACTTTGTAACTCATATCTACTATTAACATTTATTACTAAAGGTCATTTTAATCCTAGCAGAGGCAGCTTTCAATCTTTTCCCACATCTTCCTACTTGGTAAAATATTTACATTTTTAATGTTCATCATTTCTTAGGTTTACAATAACAAGTACAAAATATTTACTTCAAAAACACTGAAACTGAATAGTCTAATAAGAAGAGGCTTAATAAATACATATTTACTTTTTGTGCAATGGCTGAGAACTTCAACACATTAAGTGTTTCATCATAGGCAAAACAACACTGGCTGATGTTGACAATCATACATACTTTTCCTTTACCATTAAAAAAACTTTGAAAATAGTGGGTCAGTTTACTTTCCCGAAAAGGCACATGCTGTTGAAACCTATGGAAAAAAATTTTTTAAATTGTAAGTTAAAACAAATCTCATGAAGTCAGAATACTGGCAACGTTTACAAAACCACAATTAATTAAGCTATCATAGATTTAAACTTTAGGTTAGTGATTAGTTCCAACTGTAGTAGCCCTTCTCAGTTCGTCATCTTTAAAGCAGTCACTTTTGTGTGTAAGTGAATGACTGAATGTTCATCTTTCAATTTTGTTGTTGTTGGTGGTTCGTTTTTGCTCTTTTGTTTTTCTGCCTTTTATTTTTTACTGTTTATTGTTTAAGGTATGTGTCAATAAATGTGTGAGGGCTAAAACTGAATTCTTTTTTCCTCCTCCGGTCTTTCTGTTTTACTTCTCTGTTCACCTTGTGCTAGGTGTGTGTGTGTGTTCAGTTTTCTTGGGTTTTTTGTTGTTGTTGTTTGTTTTGTTTCACTTTGTTATTATTCCAGCTTGTTTCGGGTATGTGTTCAATTGTTTATTGCAATGATTTCTGCTTTGCATTGTCATATAGAATGGTGGTAGGGAGTGGGTCTCAAAGAACACATGCCACAATCAGTGAACATTGTAATTTGCAAGTAGTTTCTGAATCCTACCACCCCATCCCCTACCTTCTTCGACTTTCAAAAACTACAAGGGACAGCAAAGCTTCCCACCCACAGTCCTATTTCAATTAGAACAAATTCAGAGCCTTGATCAGGGAAGAATAGAGGGCTGAGAAAACATCAAAAGGAAAAGTCTCTCCCACTGACACTGAATAACAGCACTAAAGAGAAAAACAAGAGATCTGTCACAAATGAGGAAAAACCAAAGGTAACAAGAGAAAACTCCAGAAAAATCAGAACTTGGAGCCCAAAGAATGGAAGTCACCAACTACTGGCCCCAGAATATGACAGGGATTAGGGAATGGATGGAAAGAGTGAATAAGATTCAAGAAAGACAAGTTGCAACTCTGAAAGAACTTGTAACAAACATTTTGGCAATAAAAAATTTCATCCAGGAAATAAATAAGAAGATAACAAACATGGACAGCAGAATTAATCTAGCTGAAGAAAGAATCTCAAAACTTGAAGACCAGAACATGGAATTAATATGATCTATATTAAAAACATAGAAGAAGACTCAGAAAGAAAGAACAAAGCCTACAAGATATGCGAGTATACCAAGAGGCCGAACCTATGCCTGATTGGTATCCCAGACGAAGAAAGGGAAATGGAGAACAACTTGAGGCAAGTATTCCAAGAGGTAATCCAAGAAAACTTTCCCCATCTCACCACAGATGTGATCAGCCAAGCTGATTTCATAAGAGATACAGAGAACCCCCATAAGACATAAATGAGAAGACCAACCACTAGACATATAGTAATTCACCTACACAAAGTAGGCACAAAAGAAAAAATCCTAAAGGCAGCAAGAGAGGAAGTTTACTGGGGAAAACCAATCAGAACAGCAGCAGACCAATCAGCAGAAACACTACAAGTAAGAAGAGACTGGAGTCCAATACTCAAAGTCCTCAAAGATAAACAATTTCAACCAAGAATTTCCTACCCAGTCAAGCTCAGCTTCATCAGTGATGAAGAATTAAAATCTTTCCCAGATATCCAATCCCTAAGAGATTATGCAGCTTCCAGACCAGCTCTACAGGACATAATTAGAAAGGTATTAAGCACAGAAGAAAGAGAAAAAAAAAATGAATGACCACATACTTATCAAGAGAACAGCAGAGCAGAGAATAAGCAGAGAATACAGAGCAACAAGAAACTTGAAAACACACACATACATCAACCCCAAAAGCCAAAAGAAAACAAGCAAATAAAAGAAAAAACTTTGGAAGAACCTCATGACAGGGATAAACAATCACTTTTCAATAATTAGCCTGAATGTGAATAGACTAAATGCACCACTGAAAAGACACAGAATGGCAAACTGGGTAAGAAACCATGACCCAATTATTTGCTGCAACAAGAAAACTCATCTCACCACTAGGGATGCACACAGACTCAAAGTTAAAGGATGGAAAATGAATTTCCAGGCAAATGAATTACAAAAGAATGCAGGACTCGTAATCTTAATATCAGACAAAACAACCTTTAAGCTATCAAAAATTTTAAAAGATACAAAAGGATACTACATAATGATAAAAGTTTCAATCCATCAACAAGAAATATCTATCCTAAACATATATGCACCCAACAGAGGAGCACCAGCATTTATAAAGCAACTACTAAATAAGCTAAAAAAAGATATTGACTCTAACACTATTATAGCAGGAGACTTGAATACCCCCACTAACAGCCCTAGATAGATCATCAAGGCAAAAAATCAGCAAGGAGATCCAGAACCTAAATTTGATGATCGACCAAATGGTCTTAATAGATACCTACCGATTATTCCACCCAACAACCACAGAATACACATTCTACTCATCAGCATATGGAATGTACTCCAAGATTGATCACATCCTTGGCCATAAATCAGGTATAAACGAATTCCATAAGATGGAAATATTGCCATGCACCTTCTGAGACCACAGTGAAATAAAAATAAATATCAATACCAATAAAATTTCCCCAAATCCACAAAGACATGGACACTAAAGAGCAGGATGCTGAACAACTACTGGGTCAACACTGAAATCAAAGCAGAAATTAAAAGATTCCTGGAAACATATGAAAATGAAGAAGCATCTTATCAAAACCTCTGGGATGCCATGAAATCAGTTCTAGGAGGGGAATTTATATCTCTACGAGCACACATCAAGAAAATGGAAAGATCACAAGATGACAGTCTAACAAATCACTTAAGAACTCTAGAAAGAGAAGACCACCAAAACTCCAATTTTAGCAGCAGAATCCAAATGACCAAAATAAGAACCCAAATATGGAACACAGAAGACAAAAATATCATAGAGAACATCAACAAAACAAAAAGTTGGCTCTTTGAAAGAATTAATAAGCCAGAATGATAAGAAAAAGAGAGGAAAAGTCCAAATAAACACAAACAGAAATACAAAAGATCAAATCACAGCTGACCCCAAAGAAATAAAAAAAAAATTATCAGAGATTACTATGTACACCAATATGGAAACAAACTTGATAACCTAAATGAAATGGAGGACTTTCTGACATCACACAACCTCCCCAGGTTGAAACAAGAAGACACTGAGACACTAAATAGACCAATAACAACCCAGGAAATTGACTCTGTCATAGGAAAACTACCTACAAAAAAAAAGCCCTGGGCCAGATGGCTTTCCAGCAGAATTCTACAAAACGTTCAAGGAGGAGCTGATATCAATTCTACTGAAAGTATTCCAGGCAATTGAGAACGATGGAATTCTCCCCAAATCATTTTACAAAGCTAACATCACACTGATACCCAAACCAAGTAAAGATCCAAAGAAAAAAGAGAACTACAGGCCAACATCCCTTATGAACACAGACACAAAAATCTTCAACAAGATTCTAGCAAATCAGATCCAAAAAACACATCTCAAAAGTCATCCACTATGACCAAGTGGGCTTCATTCCCAGAATGGAGGGCTGGTTCACAAGACCATAAATGTAATTAAATACATCAACGGATGTAAAAACAAGAACCACATGATTATATCATTAGATGCAGAAAAAGTTTTTGATAAAATCCAGCATCCTTTCTTGATAAAAACCCTCAACACCTACGTATAGAAAAGACATACCTCAAAATAGTAAGTGCCATCTATGATAAACCCACAGCTAACATACTGCTAAATGGACAGAATCTGGAAACATTTCCCTTGAAAATCAGAACAAGAAAGGCTGCCCATTCTCACCCCTCTTGTTCAACATTGTGTTGGAAGTCCTAGCTAGGGAAATTAGACAAGAGAAGGAAATCCAGGGTATCCAAATAGGAAAAGAGGAATCAAGTTATCCCTCTTTGCTGATGATATGATGATCCTATACCTAGAAAATCCAAGAGAATCTGTCAAAAACCTGCTTGCACTAATAAAGGACTTTGGCAAAGTCTCAAGGTACAAAATATGTGCAAAAGACAGTCGCATTCCTATACACCAAAAACAAGCAGGCAGAGACCCAAATAAAAAGCACAATCCCATTCACAATAGCCACAAAAAATGAACTATCTCAACATCAGAGAAGTAAACGACCTTTACAACGAGAACTACAAAACACTGCCCAAAGAAATCCAAGAAGACACAAACAAATGGAAAAATATTCCATGCTCATGGATAGGAAGAATCGACAATGTTAACATGTACATCCTACCAAAAGCAATCTCCAGATTCAAGGCAGACCCATTAAATTACCAACATCACTCTCAGACCTGGAAATGACAATACAGAAATTCATTAGGAAACATAAATGACCACGAATAGCCAAAACAATCCTTAGCAAAAGAAACAAAGCAGGACGTATCACACTTCTAGACTTCAAGCTTTACTATAAGGCTACAGTAATCAAAACAGCCTGGTATTGGAAAAAGAACTTGCATATAGACCAATGGAACAGGATAGACAATCCGGAAGCAAAGTGTCAATTTCTCAACCAACTCATCTTTGACAAAGCCTCCAACAACAACCACTGGGGAGAGGAGAATCTATTCAGTAAAGTTGCTGCGAGAAGCTGGCTGACCACATGCAGAAGATTGAAACAGGACCCCTACCTATCACCATACACAAAAATTAACTCTAAATGGATGAAAGGCCTAAATGAAAAACCTCAAACTATAAGAATCTTAGAAAATGCAGGAGACACCCTTATGGAAATTGGAACTGGCAGCCAATTCCTGATCAAGAACAAAGTGCCCATACCATAAGAGATAACATAGACAAGTAGGACCTCATCAAACTGACGAGCTTCTACAACAAAAGAAACCATCAAGAGAGCAGGGAGACAGCCTACAGAGAAGTAAACAGCCTTTACAATGGGAAAAAATATTTGCCAACTGTATATCTGACAAAGGCCTAACACCTAGGATCTACAAGGAACTCAAATGTGCCAAAAAGAAAAAAAACAAACAGCACCATTAAAAAGTGGGCAAAAGACATGAATAGACACTTCTCAAAAGAAGATATATAGGCAGCCAACAGACACATGAAAAAATGTTCAGCCTCACTAGTCATCAGAGAAATGCAAATCAAAACCACATTGAGATACTACCTAACCCCAGTAAGAATGGCCATCATTAATAAAACAAACATCAACAGATTCTGGCAAGGATGCAGAGAAAAAGGAACACGTCTACACTGCTGGTGGGAATGCAAACTAGTACAACCTCTTTGGAAGACAGTGTGGCAATTTCTGAAAGAACCAGAAATTGACCTTCCATGTGATCCAGCAATTTCCCTATTGGGAATATACCCGAAGGAACTCAAATTTATCTTCTAAAAGGATAGCTGTACCCACATTTGCTGCAGCTCTATTCACAAGAGCAAAAACATGGAACCAACCATGCTGCCCATCAAAGCTGGACTGGATTTTTAAAATGTGGTACATATACACAATGGAATATTATGCAGACATAAAGAAGGACAAATACATGGACTTAGCAACATCTTGGATGAAATTAAGAGTTTATCATACTCAGTGATCTATCAAAGAAACAAAGAACAGAGTACCATATGTTCTCACTCATAAGCAGACCTTGAACGATTATCGTAATACTATAAGAAAGGGATTTGCAGTAATGGGAAACTGCCAGTGGATGGTGGGTGGGATTGGCAGTTGAGGGAAACTACTAGGGGAGGAAGAGGCACACCTTATCAACAAGGGTACCTGCATAATCAACGTTTGAATACCTAACCCTGAATTGTACCCCACATCTTTAAAATAAAAGAAAAAATACACAGTCACCAATAATAATGCTAACAATAACCCACTATGCAAAATGTTAAGGAAAACCATATTTAACTGGGTTGTGCCCTCTAGTATAATGCAACTATAAAATAGAGGCTATGAGCCGGGCTCGGTGGCTCAGCCTGTAATCCCATGCCTTGGGAGGCTGAGGTGAGTG